TAAAAAAAAAAAAAAAAAAAAAAAAACTAAATTATATATTTAGCTTCTTCAAAATGACATCCATAGGTATCTAGTTTTCTACATCACATTTAATTATATTTACTAAAATAAAGAAATGAGTAACCAAAAGAAGATCAAGTAGAAGAAGGCATCATAGATCACCATTATTATTTCTTGCAATTAAGCTTTAAAAGCACACAAGATAAGAAGAACATTAGGAGATAGTTTATTTAGATTAGATTTGATTAGCCAAACCAGATGGATGGTGTTTAGCTCAGCTGTTGCAAAGGTACTCATCAAGGCCTTTGCTGACTTTTGCTCCACATAGAAGATAGTTATATGGTGGAGCCACATCTTCGTTTGCCTTCACATACTCCACGGACCAATTAGCTGAGCTCCCATTGCTACCATTCTCAACAACTTCAATTTTCATTTGAAATACTTCAAAATCTCTTAATACATCTCCTTCCACGCACTCGAATGTTATTGATTTGTTCGCATCATCGACAGTTACCTTCGTCTTTCCTTCTTTTGGGCTTCCTATGTAGTTTCACACCCAAAAAAATGGATAAAAATCGTTACTAGGTCTGTTTATATAACGGCTCAAGCCCACTACTAGTCGATATTATCTTCTTTGGAGAGGTTTCTACACGCTTATTAGGATCTCACAATTTAATTGACTCATAAAATTTTGTGTCAAATGGTATTAATACCAAGAAAGCTAGATCTCAAATTGGAACCTTTCATTATCTAGAAGTTTTAAATTTAGTAAGAGTAGGTTTGGAGTAAATTTTGTAATTGAAAATATTTTTTTATACAAGTTTTTTTAATAATATTATGTCTAGATTATGTATAAAGGCCTTAAAATAATAGTCTACGTGTCCGTGAGTTAGATTGGGTCTAGTTGAAATATTTTTTAGATTAACCCAATTGATTGGATTATAAATTTTTTTCGACTCACACAATACTTATTAAATGATGAATCTAAAACTTAAAAAAAAAAAATGTATTAATTAGTTGAGTTCGTTTGAATCATTTATTCAAATAAAGTTATTCAAATAAAGTAGAAGGTTATGTAACCACTCTAACACAGAGCTACCAAATATTGTCCTATTTTCACTTTCCTAGCTTCTCCTCAAAATTTTAAAATGTATCTACTGTGGAGGGTCTATCCCTACTTCGACCAGTGTCTCGCACTGTCCGGTAACTTGGCTCTGACACTATTTTGTAACAGTTCAAGCTTACTGCTAGAAGATATGGTCAGGTTAGTTCTATTCAATCCAACCTTTAAGGTTTTCATTTATTTAAATTCAACTCAATTCAAATAAGTTCATAACTGACCCTAAATCGTATAGACTAGATTGAATTGATCGAGTATTTCGTGTCATCTACTATTTTCTAACACCTGTATAAGGAACTACCAAAACTATGGAAAGTTGTAGGAATCAAAAGAAAAGAAAAAAAAAAAAGGGTAGAAGAGATCCTCACCTACGACATATTTTAAGTGGATGACTCTAACATGAGAAAACTCATTTCCTTCCAAAACCTTCCAGCTACAACAAATTTCAGGGAACATTTGAAAAACACATTCCATTTTGTTCTTAAAGAACTCATAGAACTTGTGACCACAACACTTCAGCTGCACCTGCTGTGAGATCTTAGCAATCTGGGCCATTTTCAAGCTTCAAATCTGCTCATTCATGTTCCATACAAACGGAATTTTATAGCCAAAAAGTGGGTGTTCATAGATGGGACTCGCTGTTCTTTCTTTCTTTCATATCCATTCATTTCTCGATGACTGATTGATTTATTAGTTGGAAGAAGCTTTGGACTGTAAGGATAGCTGTCGAGATGGTAGCTTTTTTTTTAGTGTAGAAACAGGTCAATAAATTCGTCTTGGAAACGACTTGAAGAATAATTTTTTAGCTTTAATTGCTTCACGATGTCCCTTTCAATTCAGAGTTAGAAAATGAAAGCGAAAAAATGAGAATTCTTTTTGAAACTTGAATCTTAGCTGTTCACAGAATATTTATTTTATTCAACTTGAAAGGAAGAAAACTAGAAAGAATAAAGAGTCATCATCAATCAACTTCCACTTTGAAAATGGCTATAAAAGGCTCCTCCTTTAGCCATGGATGAACATATCTTGAAGTACTTTGAAAATGGCTCAGATTTCTAACATCTCTCACCAGCTGCAGCTGAAATGTTCTGGTGAACAGTTCTATGAGTTTTATAGGAACAAAATGGACCGTCTTACTCAAATGTTTCCTAAAAAACTTTTGGGCTACAAAATTGTGGAAGGAAACGGTTGCGCTCATGGCAGCGTCGTCCAGTGGAAATACAAGCTTGGTTCGATTCTAAACCCTAAACTCTAAAACTCTATTTAAAAGCTTAACTAGATGTAACCCGCCGATATTATTCTCTTTGAACTTTCTCTCAAGGTTTTTAAAACCCACCGGTTGGGGGAAGGTTTCCACACCGATGTGGGATCTCACAATCCAACCTCATTCAACATTCTCCTCTTCAATTGACGTGGGATTTACTTATATTCACCATTATTGTTCGATATTGAAAAATATTTAACGTACTAATAAATTCACTATTATTGTTCGATGTGGGATTTACTCATTATTGTTCGTTAGTTATAAATTTAAGTTTTTATATTGAGTGACGATTTTCCCGTTCGAACACAGGAGGCATACAAGAGGCAAAGCAAAGGCTACATATGGATGACAAAAACAAAGGAATAACTCTTGAATTTATTGAAGGAGATTTGTTTAAAGAGTATGAGATGATAGCAGTGAAGGGTGAAGTTAGTGATGGTGGGAGCAATGGCATCAGCTCAGTTAAATGGTCAGTGGAATATGTGAAGGTAAACGAAGATGTTGATCCACCACATAAGTATCTCCAATTTGCACTTGAATTGGCCGAAGGAGTTGATGCTTACCTTTGCAACAATAATTGATAACTATCAATAAACATCAACTAGATTTGGTGTAATTGAAATATATCTAAATAAATCTCTATTATCGTGTTATTATGTGTACTTTAAAGTATGATGGGAAGATCTATGATATAATAAAAAACCTAAGATATTATTAAGAAAATATTTTAATTGTGTTGTCGTTATGGTTTATTAGATCTCAAGGGTAGTTTGGCGGAGTTGACATAGTTTCACGTCTCCAAGTTTCTTAATTTCGACTCCTTGGGTTTGGATCGACTAAGAGCACTCGGGGTCTCACCATATAATCTTCTTTCACGATTCTTCTATGCTCGGATTACTAGAGGCGTGCAATCCAGGTCATAGTCTAGTAAAATTGATGCTCTCACCCCTAGTCTTCTCTACAGAGATAATCATACACTCAATCACTTCGATCTTGAAAATTTTCCTAAGAAACATGTAAGTAAGGACAAAACATGCTAAATAACTCTAGTATTTGGGAATAGTCTTTACTCTTAGAAGTAAGAAGGAAGTTATGTGACCATATCACACGAGATGTAGAGAAATGTTAAGGTTCTCAAATGTCAAACCCTAATTCGAATACTTGGTAGGAGTCGTAACATACCTCGAGACAATCACAAAAATTTATCGTTAACAATTATCACCAATTTCATATTTTATTTGCGTGTTTTTAAAATTTATATTTGTTTCCTCTCAATTTTTTTTAACTATGATTGTGGTTTCAACTTTCGAAAATACAAATTAGAAAAAGTAACCGAAGCTATTCTAATAGGTTTAAACTACGATGATATTAAATTTAAACTAGGACGATATGATACACAAAAAATGCATAATCAGGTAAAATAAGATTTATGTCTTACAAATATTTCTCAAGTAAAATGAATGATTAAGACCATTATTGATATACATGATTTACAATGAGTTTTAGTTTGGGTAAGGGATCTTTTTGAGGCTAACTACAATACATAACGAGTCAAAGCAAGATAATATTCGCTAGAAGTGGGCTTTGGTTGTTATAAATGATATCAGAGCCGAACGCTAAACTATGTGTCAGTGAGGACACTGGACTTTCTAATAAACGCGTTTTAAAATCGTGAAGTTGACAACGATACATAACGGACTAAAGCGCACAATATCTATTAGCAACGAACTTATTTGATACATTTTGTGAGAATAATTTCACTTTTGGAAGCGAGTGTTGTGTGCCGGAAGCGGAACAAATGTACTCACAACACCAATGAACGAATTTACATAAAGAAGCACCAAGATATTTACATAAAGAAGAAGTTCCGCTACATCCACGAACCAATCACTAATAAATCAAAGCGTTACAAGTGAATACCTCACTATCACACTACAAAAACTCTCACATGTCACTCAACAAATACAATGTGACTCCCAAACCTCTCCCAAATCCCGATACCACTTATCTGGAATGGAGGGAGAAATCTCTCCTTATATATCATTACATAATCAAATCTCCGACTAACACTAAATCTAATTCAAATAACCAAATCTAATCTAATCCAAAAAAACCAAATCAAAATTTTTGAAAATTAAGGGACGCCATATTATTCCAACATCAGAAAGCTATACAAAAATCAAGTTGAGAGCAGATTTTTGCTCCATTTGATTCTCCGTACCATAAATAAAATTTTAAAACTCTCAAGAACTTGCAACAAATATTAGAACAAAAAAGTTATAACTTTATTAAATAAAAAAAAATTAAAAAGAAGGAACTACACTAAGATTCTTATTCTCAAAGCAAATCAAAAGACTGAAAATTTTTGAAATTTGCCCTTAAAGTCCTAAAGCCATTAACAAAGTAGGGTTGTATAGGGTCCGAGTTACAAAAGTAGGGGTGTTACAAAAGTACTTTCTCTACGCGTTCATATGAGTAGGGTTGGGATGTCTTCTTTGTCCTAAATTATTTTTCGAATCGACTTCTTTAATCTATATACATATGATTTTATCATTTTTTTTTAAATCACTTTTATTCGATGTAATGTTGTATTCATTTAAGTTCTTATGTATAATGGTCAGATGGTAGAAAGCTTGCTAAGTTTCGATTCTTAATAAAGAGAGTTTTTTCGTCTTTTAGATTGGTTGGTGACCTCATATTGATTGAATTAAGATTCCATTTGATTCACTAGGGTAGTTTTTTTCGGTTGTGATACTTTGATTAGGCTAACTACTTATTTTAAGAGAGGCTACTTTTAGCTTCTATAATAGCCATTCAACTTCAGTGTAGCTCTAGTTTATATTGATACTCAATGAATATATCAAACAATAACTTAATGAGTGAATTTTGGAGGAATTAAATAAAAGATTATGCCAAATGTAACATTGCTCAGTATTCAGGATTTAAAATACGAATTTTGATTTGGCGCCGCTCACTAAATTCAGTGGTTAATGAGATTTGGATTCATTGCTTATTCAAGATATCTGAGATCTAGCTTGAGTTGCTGCTTTATGGTCTTTCCCCTTTAGGCTTATATGGCTTTTTGGTCCCTTTCGTCCAGTGGTTAGGACATCGTCTTTTCATGTCGAAGACACGGGTTCGATTCCCGTAAAAAATCTTTTCTTCTTTCGTTTCGTCTTTCCTTCATCTTTCATTTACTTCTTCAATCAAACACAGTAACCCAATTGTACGGTTCAACTACTTTAGTAATCCGGGTGCGATTTCCGACAAGTCTTTCTTCATTTTTCGAGCAAGAAGCGGAACTAGAATCAAGTCAATTTCCGGGAGTAAATAGTGAATGTAGGAAGTTCAGACGGTGGATCAGAAAACATCGCCTGGGAAAGCCTCACGGCCTGGTGCTTAGTTCTAAAACAACCAATAAATATATAAGATTAATATTAAACGAACTAAGGCAATTTAATTTTCCATGGCTGAGATGTTCAGTCGACTCCCTCCCCCTTTGTGGGGGTCCGGACCCTACGAGTGAGCAGAAAAGGGAGGAACAGTCACTCAAGGCGAAAGAAGAATGTGGCATTAGCATTTTCTTTCGGAGGGAATAAGGTATTGGGACAGAGAGGGGAGACCGATCCTTGTTTACCTCCAGAAATCAGGGAAAATGGACGAAAATACCCCAAAAAAATAGACAGAGGATAGAATTTTCTAATAAATGGCCTCTCCAACTCGGTAAAGTGGCTTCGCTCCTTCACCTTTATAGTCGAGCATATTCAATCCCAATGAATGGCAGCTTTTCTGTATCCTGCACGGGGCCTGTATTCAACCAAGCTTTTCAAAAAGGTCAAGCGAATGAAGAGGAAGGAAAGCCGGGTAAATCCTCCTTAACCCTTCGCCCTCTTACCATAGTGTGACGGGCGGTGTGTACAAGGCCCGGAAACGAATGAACGTATGGCTGACCGGGGATTACTAGCGATTCCGGCTTAAGTCACGTTGCCGAGATTTCTGAAGTTCTAAAGGGGTAGCATAAGTCCTTTCCTGTGAAGGGGTGAGCGGTTCTCGAGGAACGAAGCAGCTTGGCTTATAGTTGTAGAGGGTTTTTTTCTTCAATGTTTGGGTCTTTCATTCGGGCCTTCTTGAAGATGGGCACCCTGGCACAAGAATCAAATGTTTTGGGGCTGGAAGATAATCTTTCTCTTAGTTCTGGATGGTCCTAGCATTCTCCTACATCCCTTGTGACGTGGTCATGTTACTTACTCTTCGCTTCTAAGAATGAAGATTATTCCCACAAACCAATATGAATCCTTCCAGCATGCTTTGTTCATACTCACATGCATTCTATGAGGCATTCACCTACATCCTCTGTGACATGGTCACGAGAGTGAAGTCTATCCCCATAAACCAACACGGGTTCTTCCAACGTGCTTTGTCCTCACTCACATGCATTCTAGAAAAATTTAACATAGAATTGCTCCATGCTTAATCATGGAGTTCTTATAATTGAGCCATCGAAAAGGAAAGTGCACCTAGTTGATATAAGTAGTAACTTCCATTTTCTTTAAGTCTTTTTTAATCATCCTAACAACTCAAGCTCACCGCTAACATATATTATCCATTTTGGCCCGTTACATATCATCATCAGATTCACAGTTTCAAAACGCGTTTACTAGGTTCTGATACCATTTGTAACAGCCCAAGTCTACCGTTAGTAGATATTGTCCACTTTAGCCCGTTAAATATCGTCGTTAACCTCACGATTTTAAAACGCATCTACTAGGTAGACAGACACTGGTCGGAGTAGGGCTAGACCATCTTCCTAGTAGACACGTTTTCAAACAAGATCTTCGTTTGTGAACCAATTCTATATTATAAACTTCATTTTAATAATTTGTACATAACTTAACTTATAAAAATATATATCATCGACTAAAAGATATATGTTTGAAAACTTAAAACTTCATACATTCTCGAATTAACAAAAACAAAAAAACAAACTTAAAACTTAATACATATATGTTACTCCAAAATAGTGTATGCTCATTTGAGATTAAGCTCCACAAATCTTAAATGCTATGTATTATGTTTCCATTATGGTTCAAATTTGCTTAACCAAAGTAGTAGCTTCATTGCTTCATCATTTCCCTCTTGCAATTTGAGAGCTGCTTTTTTTAGAATCTCTCTTTGGAAATCATATTGAAAAAAGAAAGAACAAAGATGAAAAGTTACATCACCACCACTTAATTTTTGCTATAATTGCCTATAAAAAGGCCCCTCCTTTGATCATGAACGACCAGATTTGAAGCTCGAAAAAATGGCTCAAATTGCTAAGGTCTCACAGAAGGTCACAAGTTCTATGAATTCCTTAAGAACAAAATGGACTTTGTCTTTCAAATGTTCTTTGAAGTTTATAAGAGCTGGAAGGTTTTGGAAGGAAATGATTTGGCTCATGACAGTCTCATCCACTTAAAATATAACGTTGGTGAGTATTCGATTTTGTATTGATTTCCAAACTCTTAAGCTCGATAAGTTAATCAGTTAAACTATGTTTAAATTTAGATGGCTCGTCAGAGGCGAAGGAGAGGCTAGCTAGATGCGAACAAATCGATTAACTTTTGAGTGCCTTGAGAGATCTATTCAGAGATTATGAAGTTTTCAAATTGAAAATTCAAGCTCTTTGCCATGGTAGCAATGGGAGATCAACTGATTGGTCCATAGAATATGTGAAGGCCAATGAAGATGTGGCTCCACCACATAACTATCTCATAATTGCAGCTAAAATTAGCAAAGGCATTGATGATTACCTTTGCAAAAACTGAACTAGAATCCACCCATCTTGGCTTGCCTATTGAAATATGATCTAAATAAGCTATCATCCCCTAATTATGTTTGTGTTTTTGTCATGTGTATCTTGAAGGTTAATTGGAAGAAGTAATAATGATGATGTTGCCTTACTCTACATCTTTTTTCGTAGAAAATTAGGGTTATAATTTATGAGAAGATAAATGTATAATCTACTCAGAGATTCCGTTCGATATTCCGTCGTTTAACGAATAGCTATAGCCAAGTATATCACTTGTCGTTCAAGTGCAGGTGGAATAGCTCATTGTGGAGGGTGCAGAACGTGGCACAGGCACCAAATCAACCCTTTATTAATTAGGTTGCTTGTTTGTCACGTAAGTCATTTTTGGCTTGTCTTCTTCTCAATACGCACTTGATAGTTGCTCGACCGTAGATCTAACTTCTCAATGTCTCGAGAGTTTCATAGAATGGAAAGGAACTTTGCAGTACTTTTGGAATAAAGTATATGAGAAACTTACCATACTTGAGGATCTAGAGATGGAGAGTTTGGTGTCAGTTTAAAAGGGATTTGACCTGACTCATAAGAGCTGCGTCAACATTACCAAAAGTTGGCATAGTTTTTTGAGATGGACAAATTATCCAATTTTAGCCATATGATTATGTTAACTAGTAAACTATGCTAAGTGCCAAACGAGGTAGAGACAGTGACCGTGCCAAACGAGGCACGTGTTAGCTACAAACTAGGACACACGTTGGGTATCATAAGCTACCGGTCAAAGTGGGTGAGCATTCAAGAGCTACGTGGTCACAGAAGAAGTCAGTCCGAAGGGTCAATCTTTCTTTGTATTTCGAGTCATGACAAAAGATATGTATAGAACGAGTGATAAAATTGTTTAATAGTTGTATCAATGATCAATGTGAACATGGCTTCCACGTTAATAATTGTAACCTATCTTAGTTTTCTAAGTTCTATGCAACTAGTTCAACTGATTTATCCCTATTACATTTATGCTTTAAATTCTCTATACATTTTCGTAAGAGATTTTTCGTTTAAATAAAAATAGTATATATCTAGTACCAGCCTTTGCCAATGCATGTCCAATTTGGAAATTTGGGACGATCATTCAATTAATTTTCGAATACAACATGTTCATAACGGTGTGGTAGTAATGGTTCCACTCTTCAAACCCCACGTTTTGTTATTGATAGTCATTATCCTAACCTAACTTTTTTCCCTACTAAGATTTTGGTTTCCCTTGGATCTTCTTGATAGCTTTGTTTTACAGGCTGCCCTCCACAGAATGGAAATGAGTATCATTGTGAATTGGAAGATACCCAACTTTTTGTATTTAATGCTAAAAGAGCATCAGCTTTGCCAAGCTTGTTTATATAAAGAATAGGAAACTAAAGATGAACAAAGTTGGAGGTCCAAAATGGACTTCCAATATATCAAATCAAAAAGATTCTGTTCAATGTAAAACACACGTCCTTTCAATGGATTGGATAGTCGTGTTCATCAAAACTAGCAAAACTGAAATATTTCAAAATTCGAATAGAGTGGAATGAAATGCACCACCTCAGGTTTAGGATTTATATCAAAATTTGAAATCTAGATTTGGCCTTTGTGTGCCCAACATTTCTCTGCATCTCATGCGACATGGTCACGTTACTTACTTTTAGCTTCTAAGAGTGAAGATTATACCAACAGACTAATAGAGGTTCTTTTAACTTGTTTTGCCTTCACTTATAAACATGTTATAAAATTGCTATGAATTAAACCAGCTTACCTTTTGTTATGGAGGTTATTTTAGAGGTGGGTTCGGGAAATCTCCGTTCAAGTCATTTCTCACCTCAACCCCTTTGAAGAGGGCAAGAAAAGGTCACAATGGAATTGTGAGTGAGACCGCTAAGGTGCTCATCCATTAAGGTTCTTCAAACAGCTTTACCTCTCTCGTTCTACCATCTCACATGAAGTGAGAGACCTCCCTTTTACCGTGGATGTCAACTCTCAACTTTTCAACTTAAGCAACGTGGGACAATTTTCCTTTACATTTTTTCAACTTAAGCAACGAGAGACCTCCCTTTAATTTTACCGTGGATTATGGGCCCCCAAGGGGAATAGATTGTGAGATCTTACATCAGTTGGAGAAAAGAACAAATCATCTCTTTGCTTGTAAGAACATCTTCCTAGTAGACACGTTTTAAAAACTGTGAGGCTAACAGTGATACGTAACAAGTCAAATCGAACAATATTTGCTAACGATGAGCTTGGACTGTTACAATACAAGTAGCTTCTTCATTCATTTTATTCTATAACATAATATCTCGAGTTATCATGTTCGATAATGATTCAGCTATTGATTACCATGTGAAACATAAATATACAGGTAGGTCAATAGAAGTAAAGTTGAGGCTTCTTGTGGATCATCCTAACAAAACGATAATTTACAAATGCCTTGAAGAAGATTTGTTCAAAAATTTGGAGATGTTTCGAGTGAAAATTGAAGTTAGTGATGTTGGAAACAATGGGAATAGCTCAGTTAATTGGTGTTTGGAATTTGTGAAGGCAAATGAAAATGTGGGTAACCCAAATAACTATCTCCAATTTGGAGTTAAAGTATGCAAAGATGTGGATGCCCTCCTTTGCAACAATTGAACTACAAAGAATATGATACCAACTTGGCCTTGCTTCTTCTCAAGTTAATATCTTAAGTAAGATGCCTTTCCAATCTCTTAACCTTCATTGTTGTATGAACTTTGAAGGTTATTTTAATGGCGACATAATATCCCTTTTCAATAATTTTTTTGGTTTAACTATATTCTTTACATCTTACCCCACCACCTTATCTACTTCAGCTTCTTACGTATCGTCATAGTCTCACGATTTTAAAACGCATCAATTGGGAATAGAAGTTTTCACGTTCTTATGTGGGATCTCACAATCCACTCCCTTCATGGCTCATTGTCCTCGCTGGCATACTGCTCGGTGCCTAGTTCTGATACCATTTTTAATAGCCCAAGCTCACTGCTAATAGATATTATCAGTTTCAGCCCATTACGCATGGTTGTCAACCTCATGGTTTTAAAACGCGTGAGAGGTTTTCACACTCTTACAAAGAATGCTGCGATGTGGGATATAATTATATGTGATGTCAGAATTCAGATTCCGCACCTGTATACCCAACACATTTCGGTGCACCTGTGCTACATGGTCGCATTACTCACTTACTCACTTCTTGTTTTAAAGAGTGAAGATACGCCCATCTTAGGAAAATTCTCTAGAAGTCACCCAATTAGAATTGTTTCAACCAATCTGCTTAATTTTAGAGTTCTTAGGATTGAGCTGTCAAAAAAGGGGTACATCTCATTGATATAGATAGTAACTTTCAATTCTTTTTAAGACTCTTTTAGCCATTCTATTTTCATGATTGCTCTCATTCAAATATAGTTTATGTTTATTCTGATACCTTTTAACTGAGTATAATATTTTAAATATATTTATATAGAAGTCAAGTTAATAAAATATATATTAAAATTAAGTTAGGATAACCTAACCCAACCGTATTATGAGTTTAGATTAAATTAGTTGGTTTTTCAAGTGGTACGAGATTTAAATATCCTTAGTTGTCTTTTTCTTTAAATAAATAAATAGATAAATAATGAATTATTCGTAATAATAAAGACTAATTAAAAAATAAAAAAAAAAAACCAAAATTTAGTCCAAGGCATTGGACCTCAACGCGCTTTACCACGAACACACTCGACCAGATTTAATAATACCAAAAATAATTATTACATTAATTAATATTAAATATAGAAATATAAATATTTTGACTTTTTATTTAGCTTTAATTTTTAAAATTTATTGAATGAAACAGTTTTTTTCGAAAAAAAGTGAAATTTATTTAACTCACGCGGGAAAAGAGTCGTAATCAGATGCGTTCAGGACCACGGAAACTTGCCTTTTGGGAAAAGGCATCTTAATGGCCTACCCGGCCTGCCTTGCCGCTTTCTAATCTGTGGACATTGTGTTTCCGGTCCCACCCACCAATGCTACGTGGCCAGCTTTTAATGGTTGGACGTCACCGGCGAATCTAGTCGATTGGTGGAAAATAATTCTTCTAGAAAATATATTACAAAACAAGAACAAATTATGACAATAAATAATGTATGAAATTACGGTTAAATCCCTATTCCATCATTTTTACCTACTCAAATTCTTAGGTGGTTTCGATTCATTTATACATCTCTCATTTACTTAAGTATCACATGTTCACTAACTATTGTCTTGGTTCGGGGTTCGTCCCCAAACCATATCTTCTGGGAGAGGTACCTTTCTCAACATTTACGTGTCGAATTTGAGATTCAAACATTTGATCTTTTAATTGAAGATAAAATATATTAATCAATTGAACTACATTTAAGTTGAACACAAATTAATTAGGCTTATAGATGCTATAGATTAGGCAGTTACAATATCCTCACACAAAATAATAAAAAAATAATTTAAACATTCCTAAGAATATTTTTTAGGTTTTTTTAATTTATAATAAAAAATAATAATAATAACAATACCACTTTGAACCAAAATTTCAACCACATTTAAACATTCCTAAAAGATATAATAATAATATTACAAAAATACCACTAAAGTTTAATAATAAAAATGTAAAGTTTATTTTAATATAGATAATTCAAATACTTTTTTTTTTATTTTTTTTGTTAAATAAAGCGAAAAAAAAGGGTAGTAAATACGGTAACATTCGTACACTTGCACACTCCCGATCACCGCCAGCAATAACGCGTGAAAACCGCGTGAAAGGGTTCGGCGGTCTCTATATATACGTCAATAGCAAACTAACCAATAAAGAAATGGAAAAATTAAGAATATAACGAAGTTTTTTTTTACTCTCTCTCGCAATTCAAATTTCAAATCTCATTGATCTCTCGTTAAGCTTCACGCCCATGGCGAAGAAGTCGGTTTCCAATCCAGGAGCCTTGGGCTCCATGGACGAGGTCATGAAGATCTTCAAGAAGTTCGACAAGAACGGCGACGGCAAGATTTCTGTTAGCGAGCTTGGCGCCGCCCTCGGTGAACTCGGCGGCAAAATCTCCTCGGACGAGACTCGCCGCATTATGTTAGAGATCGATACGGATGGCGACGGATTCATCGACCTTGACGAGTTTGCCGCGTTTCATCGGGAAGCCTATCCAGACGGCGGAGGTAACAAAGATCTACAGGATGCTTTCGATCTGTACGATATGGACAAGAACGGCCTAATCTCGGCCAAGGAGTTGCACTTTGTTCTCAAGCGCCTCGGTGAAAAATGTAGCCTCAAAGATTGTTGCCGGATGATCAGTTCCGTCGATGTCGACGGCGATGGCCATGTAAATTTCGAGGAGTTCAAGAAGATGATGTCGCGCTCTTAGTTTTCTCCGTCGCTAGAAAGGTAGTTTCAGAATTGAATCAAATTAGGCGTAGAGTTCTTCAACAAAATCAGGTACTATCAGTCTATTTGTTAGTGTACAGTTTGCGATTCTGTTTCTCTGAGGATTAACTATCCATCCTTTTGTCGTTTGTAACCGATTAGGTATCAAAACATCTCTAGAATGAATTTCTCCTCTCTGATTTTAGATCTTAACCGGTAATCCTCTTGTTCTATAAGAAAACAAACAAATTATCAGTTCATATCTCTCACTAATTGATTGTTCTGTTCTCTTCCTGATACGGATGAATTCGAAATTCATACAGTTAATTTTGTGCCCTGAATTTGTGGAATTGGAATATTTGTTCTAGTTATTCAAGCAATTAAAGTCCCCTTGTGGCCTTAATTTTACAAAATAGTCCTGAACTTTTAGATCATTCTTCAATTTGGTCTTAAATTTATAATTAAAAATTAATTTTATCATTAACTTGTTGAAAATTCTCAATTAAATATTTGAACTGATAAAGTTATTTCCTCCCTAAATTACTATCTTATTAGCATATTTGAATCGTGACATGCCACTTCTTCAAATATATTACTAAAACACTAATATAATGAATCTCAAAATAAGTATAAAAACGATTTTGTATCTCATTAACCAATTTGGCCACTCATCAATTTATTTATGCGTCCACCAATTCTGTATTAACCTTTCTTTTTATGATAGGATAAAGATTAGAGATATTCCAATTTCTAGTATCAAAATTCTTCATTTATTTTTTGAGAAAATTTTATCATCTTTTTACATTTTTTTTTTATATATTAATTTCAAAGGGTATTTTAACATATCAAAAAAATGTAAAATATCTTAATATTTTTAATAATATTTTATGAAAAAAATATAATATAATTTCTTTAGAAATTCGAATCTCAATATTAGAATGACACATGTATAGATAATATAAAAAAACTGAAAAACTAAATTATCTTATTTAGAAAGAAAGAAGTCTAGAGATAAATTTAATTTAGTAATCCCACGTGGAAGAATAAATCAAAGCATGGTTTAGAATAGAACAATGAAAAAATAAAATATCTATGAAATTTTGACTACAATAAAAAAAATTTAAAAAAACGTTACAAAAAAAAAATTAACAAACAAGTATTTTCACTATTTTAAACCATTTTTACTAAAAAATAATCTTATTATTTAATATTAGGACTAATATTTTGTTGATAATTATTCTATTTAATCAATTAGTTTATAATATAATAAAATATTATTTACCTATCATGTCAATCAAATCTATAAAATTAAGAAAAAAATTATAAAATATTAACACAGTGAATAAAATTTCATAATCTTAAGTCAAAATATTCCCGAGATAATTTTATAAAATTATATAAAATATTTCTAAACATTGAGATAAATTCTATTGTGCAAGTTTTAAAAAGTTTAATTATTTTTTTAACTTTGAAAATTTTTATTTTACTTGATTCTTATATATTATTTAAACGTGAATATATTTTTATTCTGAGTATTTTTTTTTTTTAAACAATTTTTAAAGTGTAAAGGCAAAATTCATAATTATTTTTACATAATTTAATCGGATGATTTTGTGTTAAAGGATTTTAAGCTAATTGAAATTTATCTAAAATTTTACGAATATTTTATATAATTTAATCAAATAATCATTTCAGAATTTTGATCTAGGGTTTTAATTTTTTTTATCAACATATTGATATTTAGTGATAATTTTATATATTCAACGATCAAGACTAGTAAACCCATCAGTCCACATAGTTGTCCATGTACTAGTAGAAGATTCAGCAGCTACAGCGGTCCCTGCTTCCTTGGGTGGAATTCTCGGGTGTGGAGTTGCTCAGAATGTTGCCAAAATACCAGTATCTTTGGTTTCAAGAATTCAATCGTTAAAATATATAATCTCCACACCTACCCTACTCGCTCCTTTGTTTTCATTTTATCAATTTCCACTAATATTTCTTTATTTTCAATCATTTTAACACAAATTTATAATAATTTAATTATTAAACTATAATAACATGACAGAAAAATATTGTTGTTTACAATATCTAATACATTTATTTATTATTATTATTATTATTAATGAAACTACTTCGTCAATTTAAACAATTAAGCCCAGTTGCCAACCGAGCTGTCCCTTTCAGCCCAGTTATCAAATGAGCCCATTACATCAAACCCAATTTTCAAGTTGGCCCATCTCATTAAGCCCAGCTGCCACTCTTTGGGCCCATTAAAAGCCCACTTGGCATATGCTTCTTAATGGATTCTATCACTACACTTATATGCTTTCGATGAAGAGGTCAAATGTTCGATGGTTGAAAAGTGGCAACCGAGAAGAAAACAAATGGCTCATGAATCGACTAGTTGTGAGCAGACTTATGGAGCTAATTTTGTCCTTTTAGACTTAAAGATTGTCACTCTCAGACAATGAAGTCACTTGCGTCGCTTTGCAAAAGCACTCACTTCCACTATAGGCTTGAAATACTGTCTCAACTTGACTCGAGACCAAGAGAAGATTTCTAATTTAAATATTAATTTAAAAATATGTTGATTTGAAAATGTGTGTAGGTGAATGGATGAGAGAGACGAAGCTTTCATATCATAAATCGTTGACTTGACCAACTTTACCTTATCTCCTTTGTCTTTGCACGACCGTGGTTGAGACAATGAAATATTTGGTAGTCTTATTGAATAATTTGTAACGCCATATGCTTAGAATTTAGATCAGAATTCAAAATCCAAATTTTGTACCTAATGGCTTCGACATTCCCTTACGACATAGTCACATTACTTACTTCTCGCTTCTAAGAGTGAAGACTATCTCCACCAACCAATAAGAGTTATTCCAACATATTTTGTCTTCACTCACATGCATCCTAGAAAAATTCTCTAAAGTAGAGTTCTTATGATCGTGCCACCGAAAAGGAACGTACACCTTCTTCTTTCAATTTTTAAAGTCTTTCTCCTTTACTCGAGTGACACATGCTCATAAATTTTCGTCTTGGTTCATCCTCGAACCACGTTTTTTTTACTAGGGTGTTACATGCATACCAGTTTTACCTTGATTCGTTCTCGAACTACATTTCCTTTTACTCGAATGTCTATTTCTATATGACTCGAGAGAATTTAGACGTGTAGACAAATGTGGGAATTGAATGATCGAGGGAGATGGGACCTTGATCCATGACAATGGAATGTGGATGGTTGAATTATTGGTGGGAACATAAATTAATGCATCAACAACAAGTAAAAAACAAAATTGGAAAATTATTCCATAAAGAGCCCATATATATAATTAATACTAATCTTCAAGCTAAATTCAAAATGATCCAATGGTAAATTTTATATTTTTTACTTAACATATTAATTATATTTTAATTTATAAAGAAGAAAAAAATTATATTTTTTTTATTTCTTCTATTAGAACAAAACTTAGAACATGTCACCCACTAATTCAACTAACATAAGAAAAATTATATTTATTTATTTATTTAATAAAAATATAATATATTACTCGAAATTTTATATTAAAGATTGGGACACGTAGGCAGAAGGAAATATTTTTTTAATTTATTATTATTTTTTAATAATTTGAATAAGTCAATTGGTTATTGCATTATTGTGATAATGTTTATATATTTATAGGCATTATTCCATGGACAAAGTTTGAGAGAATCGCCTTATTTTCCTATTTTGAATTTATTATTATTATTCTTTAACCAATTTTATTAAACAAACAAAATAAAATTTAAATAAAGACGGGAATTTCTCTCTGCTAATAGTAAGTAGAGATATTCATTTAACCTATAAGGATAGATTCGTGCCGAGTCGAGGAAGAATCTTCTCTTAATCGAGGAATGAGTAAGGAAATAGGGAGAGATTTCTCCCAATGTAAAACAATTTATTATATTTTTTCTTATAAAATATTGAAAACAAAATTTTTAAAAAATGAATCCCATGAAAATAAATAAAAAATTTTAGAGAATGAAGACAAGAACAGTGAAATTTCTCTGTCTGGGTGGATATCTCTAATTATAGAAACTCCAAATTTTTTATAGGAAGCATATGAGTGAAAACAAAATATGTTAAAAGAACTCATGTCGGTTTGTAGGGAGCTTCTCGACCCTTCAATTAGTTCAAGTCAAGTAAGAAAACATGAATGCTGAAGTCATGAAGTGTCAAATCCAAATCCCAGATCATAATTTGAATTTCGAGCGTAACAAATTTACCGAAGGATAGAAATGGTAGAAATTATTGTGGATGGATATATTAAGAGGCCACAAGTAGTTTAATTTATACCCCTAGAGCCAGGAATATCAATCCATTGCAATTGCAGCTCAACTTCACCAGACTCCACATTTCTTAGCCTTAGAAACATTCTTTGACTAACTTGACCATTTCCCCAAACTATGCAACTCTCTTCAGACAAGCAATTCTCCCTACTTGGTTGAACCTTCCTTATGATGGTTCCATTTGGTAGGTTGTTCAATCTCATCTTCACCGCCTCCATGAACGGTTGAACGTCGAACTCCGCGTCCCCCATCCTGTCATCGAACGAGAACTTGTCCTTGTCGTATACAATCTACATAAAACATGAATCGAAACAACAACATTACGAAACTCTTTAATTTCATTGAATCCAAAGGGTTTCATGTTCAATTATTATTTACCAAGTAGACGGGAAGATTTGGATCTTGGATTGATAGAGTTAGATCTTCGTTCCACTCTGGGTTGATATTTTGTTTCACTACTCGGGTCTTCAACTTCTGTATGTACCATGAAACACGATCGATTCAGTTCAAAAAAAAGTCAACAGAGATAAAATTGATGGGTTAGAGTAAATTTAAAACACGAAATTCAAAACCCAAAAACAAAATCATCAGACAATTCTAAAGTCAAAAGCTTCAAGACAAAAAAAAAAACCATAACTCGAGCCGGAGCTCGAGCTCGAGGAGGAGGAAGAAGAAGAAACCTGTTTGCCCATCTTGAAAACGACATATGGATCACTGCTAACAACGTCTCTTACAGCAAGATTGACACCTCTAAAGACATGGATTCTGAGCAGACCCATTAAATTCTCCATTTCCAGAGACCTTTGATGAAGATGATGATGATGAAGAAGAAGGGTTTCAACCTTTGCTGTGGGCTATGGATTTCTTTCTCTACACACTAATTAATGGCAATTTGAATTTGGTGGAGCCTCTTGGCCTCACATTCCACCTAATTTATATATCTTCAATTATCATTATTTTCTTTTGGAAAAAATAAAATATAGCGGGTGAAATTACCTTTTTAGACATTTCATTTTTTAATTAAATATAAAATATTTTAATCCATTGAGACAATTCTACTATTAAATAATTTTTTTTTTATAAAATAATTATAAAAATTTGAATACTTTTATATTGGTCAACCTCATGAATGATTTGACGTGAAATGAGTTAATTTTATTTTTAAAATAAAGTTTATTAATATAAATATAAATATTATATATGGTAGAGACCAACTGTGACAAACATTTACTTACGTTATATATTATTAAAAAAAAACAGCCTTATTTTACCAAATGAAGGGAGATTTGGTCGGTCAAAAACAATGAAATTAATGACTATCACGCGCCTTATTGAACCCTTTCAAAAAGGTAATTTTCACTAGGCGGCGGCGGCGGAGGCGGCGGCGGCTGAGTTTTACAACCTTTTCAAAAAGAAATACTCATTTTAAACCTAATTATTTATTAGAGAATTTTTAAAATAAAAAAATTGAAGATAAATTATACTTTTAGTCCTTGAAATTTGTTAAATATTTAATATAAGCCCCGTTTTTAATTGGTTTAAAAGTTTTAAATCCTTGTTTTGAACTGAAAAATAGCGTAATGAATTGGATGAGGAATGAACGATTGAACTGCTATTAGTTGATTAAGAGCTCTACTTCTCTTACAGCGTTCATACTCTAATTATGGAGGGTACTGAACAGTGATTTCTTATTCATATAGGGTGGGTTGATTTTATTTTTTAATTCAATTAAATTTTTTTAAATAATATATTGAAAATTAAAATATGGTTTGGGAGTTAAATTTATAGCCTAACCTTATTTTTAGTGAAAATTTTCATAATTGTATTTTTAAAAAAAATACATTAAAAAAATAAAGTCAACAAAGTAAATTCCTTTTGGACCTATCAATTGCAACTTGGGCAAATGGGATTTTACGAGAAAATGAAACGCGCCACGCTGGCGGAATTGACCTGGTAGTCAAGGGTACGCAATCGCGTCCACGTGGCTGCTGGCGTCACTTCTTTGACTTTCACCTCCAAGTTCGCACGTAACAAAAAAAAGACGTTTTTTCTCTTAAACAAAATAATGATAGGTTTATTTTTTAGTTAAGTTTTTCTCATTTTCATTATAAAAAATCTATTTTAATCATTGATTTTTTTTTTTTTTTTAATGAAAAAAATATATTATTTTAATTCTTGACATTGATAATAGTAAATAAACTCGAACCATAAAATAAAATAAGAACCATTAAACCCGACTTTGTGCAAAGATCGTTTAACATACAGTTGAAAATATAAAATAAGAACCATAAAACATTCTTATCTTTGTCAAGTTTAATTACCATAGTTTAATTAAAAATGTCTATAATAACAAGTCAACCGATTGATGGTTTGATTAGTATGAAATTTAAGCTTATTTCTAATCCCGACATAATCGGTTAGGTCACTTGTAGAGAAGAATCTAACGGGATCGTAATTTTTGTCAACTTACAAACACTAATTTTTTTTTATTATTATATATGGAATTATGATAAATTAAATAATGGATTATTATTATTAATTTTTCTAGGCCAAATCTAATTTATAGGTTAATTGAAGATTTTGGTAAGGGTGGTGACATTGTCAATGCTACTTTGTCCACCTAGGTGTTGGGGGACATTTTTGTGCAAAACTATAAATTATAAATTAATATTTACTGCTACAAATTTTATATTTATTTTATTTTAGTCTATAGTATATTCTAAATATTTACTTAATAATAATTTACTTTTTTAATTCTTGAAATTTATGCAACACGTCACTTTAGTCTCTAAATTAACGGTCTCGTATAAATAGAAAATTAATTGTATAACAATTGAAAAATGTAAATACGAGACTAAAAAAACATAAAAATGCTATAAATTATCTAAAATATATCTCGTAGGACCCGCTTAACTCGGTAATCACATTTGACAAGGTTCTAAACCCATCTCGAGACAAGGATAGGAAGAGACCCGCCACATAGATCAAGTCTTAGGTTCGACCATAATTATGATCGTATATATTCGTATTTCATTGAGTAGTGGGATGGTCTATTGATACTATGTATTTTTAATATTATAACTTTTTTTATTAAAAAAAACCGAGTATGGGCAAGAAGATCCTAAGGGACAGATGGTGCTTGCTACGAAGACCATCTTAAAAGATTAAGACAAATGTTTTTTTTTTTACATTAGTTTTGTGACACCCAAGTAAATGAGAGGTATATGAACGAACCGTGACTACATTCGAACGAGAGTGGTCATGAGGATATGGTGACTAGGAAATGCTTAGTTACTATCTATGCCAACAAGTTGGACCTTTTTTTTCAATGGCTCAATCATAGAAATTTCATGTTTAAGCGTGTTTTACTTAGATTAATTTTATGTTAACTAATCTGTTAAGAATTTTTCTGATATGTATGTGAGTGAAAACAAAGCATGTTAGAAGAATTCGTGCAGGTATGTGGGGATTATGTGAGTTAGAATAACTTGTGTAAGTTCGTGGGGATAGTCTTCACTCTTAAGAAGTGAGGATTAGGTAACCTGACCATGTCGTAGAGGAATGTCGAAGCCATCAGGTGCCAAATACAAATTCTATATCCTAGGTATGGGTCGTTACAAGCTTTCCATTCCTACCTCCCTCCCGGAAAGCTAATATCATTCGAAAAATTGTCAAATTTAATTAAATAAAATGAAAGGGAAATCTTGAAAATGATAGCGGGGAAGTTTAAGCTAATCCATTTCAAGACGAAAAAGAGATGGTTACCTTTGAGTTATATTTGACAAAAGAGGTTCATATATGGTCCAGGCATAAATGCTTCTTCATTTCGATCTCTTACTTTATTTTCCGTTTTGACGTGCATGTTACAAGTTCAAAGAGAAAATGACCGAGTGGGAACTTTTGAGATTCTAAGGAAAAAAACAAACAAAACTAAATGATTGAACGAGCTAAAACGCTTAAGATAAAATTTTTACGTAAAGACCAATTATGATTGAATTATTTCACGATCTTCACAACAATTATTGCATCCATCAAGATTTCTTTTATCCTTACCTTAGAAACATAAACCCTAAAAAATATTCAGTAAATGACTCACTATTAGAGTCGAGAAACACAAACACGTATAATTTAATTGAGGCCTAAAATTTTAACCGTTCTCGAACTAGCTTTCTTTTCTTTAAAAGGGTTGGAAGTACACCACCTTCGTTCTCTTTAGACTCGATTATATGTATGCATCCGTTCGGGATTAGATTAGGTCGATGCTTTGAAAAATGTTTAAAACAGCTTTCGACTCTTAAAATGGTGACGTGTAGTAACTAAGTGGCTGGATTAGGCTGACATGTCAGTTTTGTAAATTAGTAATAGTGATAATATTTTAATTAAAAAGTTTTTTTAATATTAAAAATTTATTGGGCTTGGGCTTCTATAGGATTTGGGCTAAATTACCTTTTTCAAATTTGGGCTTATTTGGTGTAGCCCAATCTTTTTTTAAGTGGATTTGGGTTTATTTTGAGTTTTGTTTAGAACTTTGGGCTTAATTCAAACTATTACGTGGCACAATTTAATTGGTCTTGTACGATGACTCAACCATGAGATAATAATTAGTACAAAAATGATTTTTCTTTTTTAATTTGAAAGAATTATGTTGTTATATATATATATATATTTATTTATTTATTTTCATTTTTATATTTAACATTTTATTTATTAAAATTTAAGATCTATATTTAACAAAATTACACGCTCGGAGGGCAGTTCTTGCTCTTCTCTATCTTTAATTTCTCTAGTCCACCAATCGATTCAATTTTTGTCGCCGCGAGGTAATCTTCATCAATTGGAATTCCATATCCTGTTTCTTAATCTTTGGAACTGACGGTACCGATCATGGATGACGGAGAAGCAATTTGGGAAGACATCGAGCGCTCGGAGAGGTATCATACCTGTTTTCCTGAATTTTCTTCTTTTGTATATCAAGAACGTGGTTGTGTATCAGTTTGATTGATTCCTTATGTTAGGAGTAGGAAGCATGAGCTGACCTTCGTTAATGCGCTTTGCAGCTATCTTGTGTGCTCCATGTATGAGGAAGCGTTAGGGCTAGCTTCCTCCGTTTTAAAGCGTATTTCTCAAGAGAAAAATGGCTGTGAAAATGATTTGTTGGAAGCAGCTGGTATGGTTTTAGTTCAATCTTTGAAGGAACTTGGAAGGTAATGTTTATTACAACTACTTTCGTTGATTTTATTTAGATGTATATTGAACCCTATGCCAGATATGCTTGTTCTGCAATACCAAATGAACATTGAGTTTTAAAGGGCTGCGTATTGAGTCAAACCCTACAGTGATAGTTATGAACTATAATGTTTGTTGTGATAGTAATTTTGACTGATACATTGTTAATTTTATTAGTCAATTTGGTAAGATATACTCTGCAGAATGTCGTTTCTTAATATTTGGTGTTAATATGGAAAGAAAGTTCCATATTGTTTATTGTATATTAAACCAGTTAATTCAGTTCGCTCGTGTACTTGCAGGACATCACACATGGTGGACGAGCTCAAAGTATCATTTGCCTCCGTTGCAGGCATCCCTGTTAATGTTCTTTTAACTGGGTAATCTCATCTACTGTTAAACATATGTCACTGGTCTTTTACTATTGTTTTTATTTTGACAAAGAACTTAACTTCTATTGATGCAAAAAATACAAGAGCAGCCCATAAAAAAAAAAACTCACAAAACGTAAGTTCCATTGAAGGAAGGAACTCCCGTCAAGAACAATAAGACGACCTAATGTAAAATTACAAAATGAGATTTTATAACTGCTGCCTAGAGAGGAACATAGAGAACCTAGTGGACCGAATATATAATGTCGCTAGTCTTGTAATACATTTGATTGTCCTGTCCATTGATTGATCATGCGAGCATGTATTCAACTATCATAATGGGAAAGCAAAAAGATCTTGTTTGGTTCTACTTAATTGCAATGTCTGTAAATTGATGAAATAATCTCAATATAGCTAAGGCATAATGTGTTGGCCCAATGGTTGGCCAAGGTGTGAACTCAGATACCTTTGTGGCTATAGATCATAACTTGGTGGCATTCTATCTACAAATTAATACTACGACCTTCCTGATGTTAAGCGTGGGTGAGTCATATTGCTATGAGCATGTTTTAATTGTTAATTTTACCATGGTCAATTTCTTAGGGCGTGTCTTCAGATCTCGGAAGGTCTTTCTGATATGCGATGTTTTCTAGAAGAGTTCCTTAGCAAGTGGAGTTTATTGAATGAAGAAATATATGTTCTTGCTGGCTCAAGAAATATTGATGACAGAGAACATTATGATGATCATGCTCAGTTGACTGTCGATGAATATCTTCAAGTTGTTGAAGTTTATCTCCGGACGCTCATGGAGATAGGTTTGAAGGACGTGGATCTTGCTGTTTCGTGGGTTGAGAAAGCTGCTTTACCTGAGGAAAAGCGTCAGGTAAATAGTTTTTTTTTTTCTTGATTTAAGATGAATTGAATATGAAATATGACTGAGCCATGTTCTTGTGCTTATTCTTCTTCTATATTGTTCTAACTCTTTTCCCTTTCCGAGGGTGTCCAGCGTGGTATTGGATCTTTTTTTTTTTCTGTTTTGATCTCCTGCTTATACAACTTCATAATGCCTCTACTATTTTCTCAATGTTCATCAGTTCACTACATTTTTCATCTTTGTTTATGCATCTCCAAGAATTTCGACAAGAAATTTAGACGGATGAAGTATTCAATCCTATTATTACCATCTTTCTCAGTACTCTGTTGCATCAATGTTCATCACAGGGATCTGAAAAGAAAAAAAAAAAAAAAAAAAAAAAAAAACTTTGGAGAAAAGTTTATGATTTGGAGAAATGAAGTTTGTAAATTTCTGTATATGCGGCTTAATTTTATTTGCACCTAAACCTAGTATTGCCCTAACACCCTCACTGTCTTCCTTTAGTCTTGAATTTAAAGTTTTTTCTCCCTCAAAGTAGAGGAGCATCTCCCTCACATTCACTTTCTGTTACCTTCAATTTCCATTTCCTTATTTGTTTTTCCTTCAACTCTATGGCTAGGTACTTTTGAGGAGGCTAGACTACCAGCAGTCTCTTAAAGCTGCCAGCTTGTCTCAATCGTCCCCATCTTCTTTGCATAAAGATGACCATAAAGCACATTTATCTTCTTCGGAAGATCCTCAAGAATCAAGAACTTCAAAAACAGCCTTAGATCCTGGATATCATCAAGATGGAGGGAGTGCTAACAGAGAAACGGTTCTAAAGCTACATAAGCTTACAAAACCATGGTTTTGGCCGTTCCGTACAATCACTTTGAAGTTTGGAAGTACTCGGTTGGTCATATCCACCAGAAAGGTTGTGCTTAGCTGTTTGTTTGTGCTAATTTATTATCTACTGCGAAGGAAACTAACCACTTTGAAGAGGTATGTTTATTGTCAAATGAAGAGCATATTACTGATCATGTGCTTGCAGTTCTATATCATAGTGCTCAATGCGAACATTGAGAAGCACTTGCAATTTAGAGGTTCAACTTAATAGATGAAGGATATTTTAGCTTAAGAAGTCTTTTTTTGTGGGTCAAAGTTCTGATAAATGTCTGTTTTTAGGGATATAGTACTTCGTAATCTGTTTTTTTTTTTTAAATGAATTGTAGATTTGCATCTAACCGGGTAGACAAATTTGAAATATGTTGTTTCTTGAGCTGAAGTGCTTTGCCTTCACTAGTTTTTGGTATTTTTAGAATTTTCAAAGTATTATCTAATCTTATTTTGATTTTTTTTTTTTTTTTTTTTTTTTTTTTTTTTTTTTTTTTTTTTTTTTTTTTTTTTTTTTTTTTTTTTTTATAAAAAATTTGAACAGGGATTTCAAGGGGTAAAAGCGTTTTTCGACGTGAATTAGAATCTACTGGTTGTAAACATTCAAGGATCATTTTAGACTAACTTTCTAAGTGCTTAAAAGCATTTTCTAATCATTTTAAAATATTCTTTTAAGCATTTAGAAAGTGATTCTAAATATAGTTATCGTTTCTGGGCAATATTTTATTGATAATTATGTTGAATGTGTTGTTGTTGTTGTAATCCCAGGATGGCTCAGAAACAAGGTTTGTCCGTAAAGAAAGCAGTGGTAGACCTGTGGCAGCTTGCATTTTCATACCAAGTTAACCCTTTAGCTATTGCCCAACCTCTTTCTGGGGTACCTCGTGGAGCCTCATGATTCTCTTAAAACCATATTTGTATTCTGCCATTTGATATAAAAGCAGCATTTACAACCATTTTTCTTCATTGGCTGCTTCAAAAATCCTGTATGTTTACGAGTTCGAGTTGGGGGTTCATTAGGAGCAATGTTGTGAGCTTCAAAAATCCCGTTGGGGATAATTAGGACCAATGTTGTGAGCTACTAGAATACTATGGGATCTCTTTAAGTCGTTCATTCTTTTAAATATATTAATGATACTTTAAGAAAGTGAGATATTTTCTATAATTTAGTAAATTTAACTTACTTTGGAACTAAAAGAAATTTAATTATTGCATTGATTATTAGTACTATAAGCAATTTGCACAAGATAAACACAACACGTCCTTCATTTTTTCTAAATAATCGAGATATTTGTTAAATTAGAACCGAAAAAAATTGATTTTTTAGAAGTTTGTTAGACAAGCCAGAATTAGGACATTTTCTTGGTATCTTTTTAGAGCATCAGGTCAATGTTCACATGACCTGTTCACATTTAATTTGAAAATGGAAATGTCATTATCAACAATAATATGATATAATATGATATTATCCACTTTAAGTAGATAAGATATTATCATAAACTTTCCTAAGTTTGTTTTTAATTTTCTCAAAAGATTTCATGCCAGTAGAGATTAAAATTAAAGATAGTATTTCTTATAAATCCATGATCAACCCTTAATTAGTAGACGTGAGACTCTTTTCCCAACCATCATCAACAAAGCTCAAACATGACAGCTATGTATAGGTTATTAATGAATTCAATGAGTGGTGATGAGGGTGTTCATAAATAGGTAAAGTTGGCGCTATCTGACTGATAGTCGATATGGGTCTCACTCATGTCTCTTGGAGATGATCACTTCACCGGGTTTAGTTTCTCAGCCCGATCTTCGTCTTATGGCATCCATTCATTTGAAGAACAGTATTAACTGTTATTGGAGGGCAAGTAGTAGGCACGTAAATCCGAATTTCCGGTCGTCCCATCTAGTCTTTTCTTTGTTTTTCTTTTGTTCTGGCTAATTTTGCATCTTCCCATTCTCATATTCTTCTAGTTTCTGAGTTTCAGGGGAATTAGCAATGGTGAGAAGGCTCATATCAGGAAAAAGCTCTTGAGAGAACCAGATTATAAGGTATGGGAGGTAAAATGGTAATACTAAAATATGGTAACACTAAAATATGTTCACAGGGAGGTAAAATGGCAACACTAAAATATGTTCTTCACCAGTTGAAGATATAGGCTGCAAACACTTCGGAACTAACTGCAAAACTTGGGTTACTCCTTATTTAGGCTTCTATAAGATGAAGGACCAATGTAGATATGGAGAGAAAGGGTCAGCCATAAGGGCCTTACAGAAACGGAGGCTAAGAGATGTCGTCATTGCTTTTTACGAGTCTCGTTTGCACGACACACACCGGGAATAACGGGTGTTTCAGCTAAAGCACTAAGCTTGGATATGATCTTGCGTGATAATAATCACTTTTGTGCAGCCTTCAATATACTAAATATCGACACTAAAGCTTGGACCACAGTGCCGATATTTTGCTCTTGTTTTGGCTTTTAAGTAACCTCAAAGGTCTAGAGTTGGTCTAATCCCCCTTTCCATTCTTTCACCGACAAAACCGACCTTTCAATTTGACTTCACAACACGACTTTGACTTTAGAACAATCAATCGAACAGGTAACACTAAGATAAGGGCCTGCTCATACTCCCTATTCAAATTGCTTGCTTAGAATCGAGAATGAAGTTTTCATTCTCTACCTGCTAAATCATGAATTAGTAACTCCATCCAATTTCCAAAAAAACTGATTCTTCCTATGTGACAACCATCAAACTCTACAATAAATATGTAAAAATCTTAATAGGTAGCTACCATCATTTGAACCATACATAACTTCAAGAGAATCATAGCATAGAGATGGCTCCTTCGATCAGTACATCTAAAATCTAACGGTGACTTTGTTCAATATGAAGCAAACAATTGCCAAATTTTAAAAACTAAGCAGTAACGAAGGAATGAGTGAAACAGAGAAAGAATTCTCAACCATGGAAAATGGAACAATGAACATAATCTAACTGATTGAAATCCAAAACGAAGCAAAACAATTACAAACACATATTTGAAATAAAATGATAACTAACCACATAGTTTTCACATAATACTGCAGAGATTCATTCGAAAATAAGACAATTACAGTCCAGAATTGGGCATCAAGTATAATTCTTATTAGGAGATCAAACATGCCAAGGTTAGGGAAACATATCTATAAATGATCATACCACTGATTTAACAGGAGCAGAGTCGTCGGTGATCTTGATGTAACCCATCTTCTTAATGTTCTCCTTGTTATCATCACTAAAGTCATCTTCCTCCTCAGAATCGTCATACACAGAAGAACGATTCCCAAATCGACCAGCGCACAATGAGTAGGCCAAATACATAGTAGCAGCAGTGAGAGCGCCACAGCCGACGCCGAAGAGCAGAGCAACAACAACGGTGAGAATATCCTTGGTGCGATCACGGAGAGAGGTGAAGTCATAAGGGAAGTGTTGATGAAGCGAGTGGGGCCTAGGACGAGGGAGATCGAGAAGGAGGATGTCGTCGGGAACGGAGAGGGAGGATGATTTGAACTCGGTGATGTCGACGATTAGGGCCATCTCGGAGAAGGGATGATGGCGGGAATCGAGGGTTCGGTGGCGAAGAAGGGAAAAGGAAACGAAGAGGGACTTGCAAGGGCGGGCATCGGAGGAGAGTGAGAGGGAAATAGTGAGGAGAAGGAGGAGAAAGAGGCGCGACGCCATGGAAAGAGGGAAGGGGAAAGCTTTGGAGGAATCAAGAAGACTGTGCCGTCCAAACTCAACTCTTCTTCTTCTCTTCGTCGCTTCCGTTTCACCAATGGACCAACACGCTTCAAATTTTCCTTTTCCACTGTATAATATATATATATTAAAGAAAATTACAATCAACTTTCCTTTAATAACCTTTTAATCCATAAATTTACTTGTTAATATAATAATTTAATACGGTCTCAAAAATATTTATAAATCTTTATGAAAATTGTTTTAAATTTTCAAAAAAGTTAAAAAACATTATTAAATTTTTCGAAGTTATATTAAAATTCTTGGAGATAATTTATGAGACGATAATAAACCATTTTTGTTCATATTATTAACCGTAATAAGATTTTTTTATTATTATTATTTATATAGAGCAAAGGATATTATTTTTTTTTTAAGTTTAAGGGTACGTTTGAAAAATTGTTAAATTTTTAGGGTATTATTATAACTTTTAAAAGTTTGTGGCATTTTATAATGAATCACAAAATTTATAAGTATTTTATTAATTTAACTAAAAATAAGCTATAGTCGTACTGAAACAATTAGTCCCACGGTCAATTGCTAACCCTGCCCATACCTAATCCTAAGTGTTTACCATAGGTAGATGGAGCGACCAAAAACTGAGTAAGTCGGTCGAGCTTGATATTTTCATAATTAGAAAATATGAAAATAAATATTAGAGGGGATAATAAATGTTTGTTATACTCAACTTGAACATAGTTCAATTAATTAAAATAGATCGACTTTTTCTTCTAAATAGGAGAATATTTCCTAAAATCAAATGAAACGGTAATGGAAAGTTTTGAATTCCATGACCTTAGTTAGCCTGTTTTCCCCTCGCCTACAAAACCATCGCTTCCGGTCGTTTTCTACACGATCTGACCCTCAAATGTCGGCCACAAAATGACATTGAAATCTGTGGGGGCTTTGTCTTTGAGCAAAGAAGAGAAAAGCCTGTACCAGAAATTTATTATGATATCTATTTAAAACAAAAACAATATTGTTATCAATTTCGTAGTAGAAAAATCGGTAACGTTAGTTAAAATAAAATAAAAAAACGTCTTGATCTAATAAGACCTACAATTTAAATATAAATATCGTTTCCCTAGTTTCGGTTCCTTAGCTTTCACAATTATGCCGTCATTCATATATGAGTGTCTTATCTTTATCTAAAAAGGAGTAATACGTTGCTTCAGTATTTAAAAATACTTAATAAGTAGTCTCACTGTTAGTTACAGTCCCGAAATGCAAATACAAGTAATCATGGGGAGACCTATCATAACTATGATTTCCAGTCTAGATAGGATTGAATTGGTAGTACTTCTCTACATATGGCCCCACACGCATACATATTGATGTTATGATTCACAAATATAATTAGAGTACTGGTCAAATTTGACTCCAAATCTTCATAAGAATCAACATCTTATTTAGTTCATGTTCTTAAAGTTAGCGGTAAATATCAAAGTTATTGCTTCTTCTATTATTCTCGTCGTTTTCGATTCAAAATTAATAAATTCCCTAACCTTTGTTTGGAAATTAGTTAATTCACATTTAATTAAGAATGCTGTGTATATCAATTCATAAAGTTAAATCAAATTTTTTAATAAATTAAAAAATTATTTTCTTTAATTTTTTATAACGATCCTTACCTAAGATTCGTAATCCAAATTCGATATCCGATGACTTTGACATTATCTTATATGATATTTAGTCTTTCATTACGATTCATCGTAGGTACCGTCAATCGTTCTTAAACACATATAAAGGATTTAAATATATTCAATTTTTCCTATAGTCGAATTTGTTAAGATAACATAAAGAAATCTTTGGTGGTGTTACGAGATGTATAGCTATAATTCTGAGAGCACATTTTTGAGTTCATGACAAGTTAAAAAATATATCGTAAAAGGGAAAAAAAATCTCAGTTTGAAATAGAACAATTTATAAAGATGGTCAATACTCAGATTTTAGGATTTGAAGCTGATTCATTTTTTTTTATATCCAATTTGGATTACAATTTTTTCAATTCAAACCACCATTCTCACCGACTGAATAATGGCTAAGAGAGAGGCCAAAATTTAAATAAAAAGCGTAAGGTCCCTTGCCTTAAATGGGGAAGAGAGAGGGCATTAATGGCGTGAAATTGGCGCTACCACACTCCTCTCTCAGGCCCCACCGCATATTCAGCTTCAAATCCGAATAACCCCTTTTGTACACTTGTCTTCAATTTCTCAAAAACGCTCATTTCCAACCCCTTCACTCGCCACTCACTCCCCAATTACTCTAACCGCCCATTTCCCACCACGTTTTGCTTCGCAATCTGTGCTCCTAGAGTAGAGAAGGATTCTTCCTGTTTTTCATATAAATCCCCTGTTTTCTCAATTGGGTTGTCTTCTTTATCTCATTTCTCTCGCTCTGCATTCTTTGTTTTCTTGGAAGTTTGATTTTGTTGCACCATGGCCTCTGCTGCTACTCTCAGTCCTGCTGATAGCGAGAAGCTCTCTAAGCTTCAAGCTGCTGTTTCTGGGCTTACCCAGATAAGGTATGGAAATGTGGATGTTTATCCTTTTGTATTTGTGTATTTCTGGCATTTGTTTGTTGTGATTTGGATCTGTGGGATCCGTTTGAGAAATGGGTTGTGGGTTGTGATCTCTGTTTTGTTTGATTTTGTGCTGCAATGGGTTATGAGATCTGATTCTCTATTGGTTTTGGCAGTGAGAATGAGAAATCTGGATTTGTCAACCTTGTCTCTCGCTATCTCAGGTAATTTCTAATGTGTATTGTTGTTCCTTGCAATGGGAGTGGATGTAGTTCTTTTTTTGAACCTAAGAAGGTCTAATTGTCTCTAGTGGAGCTTTCAAATTCATGATTGATATCATTTGAGAATGGCGCTTCTGTTTGTTGATATTACTTTTTTGTTAGAACATGCTTAGTTATTGATATCACTTTCTAGAGGGATGTTCTTCCCCTCATTTGAATCAAGAGAGTTTCATGTGGAAATTTGCTGAATCTCAATCCGGAACCAAAAAGAATTGATTAATGGATTTCATCATAAGCGTGGTACTTTTTGCTGAAACAACATGATGTGAAATTCTACATCGGTTGGGGAGGAGAATGAAACACCCTTTATAAGGGTGTGGAAACCTCTTTCTAGGAGTCAAAGTTTTAAAAACCTTAAGAGGAAGCCCGAACTCAATAAGGACAATATCTGCTAGCAGTGTGCTTGGATTGATTACAAATGGTATCAGAGCCAGACACCGGGCGATGTGCTAGCGAGGAGGTTGAGTCCCAAAGGGGGTGGACATGAGGCGATGTGCCAGTAAGGACGTTGGGCCCTGAAGGGGGGTGGATCGTGAGATCCCACATCGGTTGGGGAGGAGAACGAAACACCTTTTATAAGGGTGTGGAAACCTCTCTCTAGTAGATGCATTTTAAAAACCTTGAGGGGAAGCAAGAAAGGGAAAACCCAAAAAGGACAAATAGTTTTAAAAACCTTGAGGGGAAGCCTGAAAGGGAAAACCCACAGTGAGCTTGAAATCTGATCTGTTCTTGATATTCTGAATTTCTGGTTGAAGTGGGGAAGCACAGCATGTTGAATGGAGCAAGATCCAGACACCAACAGACGAAGTAGTGGTTCCTTATGATTCCTTGGCACCTCTACCTAATGGTATCCTCTCCTTAATTTTGTCTACATTTTCTATTCATGATATTTTCTTATTGAAAGCTCATATAGATCTTTGTTAACGTAGATCCTGCTGAGACCAAGAAACTATTGGACAAGCTTGTCGTTTTGAAGCTTAATGGAGGTTTGGGGACGACGATGGGCTGCACCGGTCCCAAGTACGCCCCTTTCGACCCATTTTCTTTCATTTTTCTTTTCTCATATTATCTTCTGAAGTGCTGGATTCTTATCATGCATTTGATTCATTTTATCAAATTCATGCTGAAGGACTAAACCTTGAGTTTCAATGAGCATAGGATCAATTATTTTCGTCCCCAAAACATAGGTTGCTTGAGCTTCGAAATTCATACCCTTTAGGACTTTCTCAAGGTCGTCTGCCAGAACGTTTGTAAGGACTCACAAGTAGTTCAACTCATAGGCCTTACATCTGTGCCACCAAAACTGCATTACTCAGACTAAATATATGTTTTAGTCCTGATGTTGAGTGCTTTTCAATCTTAGTCCCTATTGTTTAAAATGTTTCAATTTAGTCTCGTGTATTAACATTTTTCGATATAGTCTCAAATCGTTGGTGAGTATCAAAATCTTCTGTGCTGCAGGTCAGTCATTGAAGTCCGAAATGGCTTGACATTTCTCGACTTGATTGTTATCCAAATTGAGGTTTTACTCACACTATTCTCTCATAAACGATTTTTTTTACGTTCCATTCTTATTTATGTTGGTTCTTATACTCGATTTTGAGAATCATCCATGTCACTTTTGGTAGAATCTCAATTCCAAATATGGGTGCAACGTTCCCTTACTTCTTATGAACTCATTTAACACTCATGAAGATACTCAAAAGGTATTTAAATCAGTATATGCTTATTTCCCATGTTTTCCTAAGTATCTTGCGCTTTATACTAACTCTTCTTTATACCAGATCATTGAAAAATACAAAGGTTCAAATGTGGAGATCCATACTTTCAACCAGGTGAGTACAAGATGAGATGGGTTAGCTTTTTTCACGTCTTCTTTTTATTCTTTGGAATGAATTGTTTATCTTTTTTCTCATTGGATTATAAACAGAGCCAATATCCACGTTTGGTTTCTGAGGACTATCTTCCACTCCCTAGCAAAGGACGCACCGACAAGGATGGATGGTATGATATATTTACTCGTTTAGGACACGAAAGAATTCGATCAACTTTGTCTCCTTGAGCCTTTTCTCATTAAAATTAATAATGTGTTTGCCTAGAACCGCTTTTGTTTTGGTCTGAGGTGCCAATACGAGCCTACGTACTTCATATCTTTGTATTTGTGTTCATGTGAAGGTACCCTCCTGGACATGGTGATGTTTTCCCATCCTTGAAAAACAGTGGCAAACTTGATGCCCTGATATCTCAGGTCTTTTCACATG